TCATTTGGGAGGGTCTCTGCAGCCTCAGCCCCCTCGGGGACCTTCGGGAGCCCTCCTGGCACCCCCAGAGCAGCCCTGCCCGGACGCTGAGGCTGGTCCGAGGAGACAGGTGTCTTGCCGCAGGGCCGGGCAGGAGGCTGTTGGGACCCTGGTGCCAGGTTGTCCCAGGCCAGCAGGGCAGGGTCACAGCATGTGCCGCGCCCGGGGCCGGGGAGAGCCCTGCAGGTAGCTAAGTGGGGGCACCTGGCAAACACCCCGGGGCAGCAGGGGCGGGGCTGCCAGTGCACGGGGTGGGGGGGAGGTAGCGCCCAGCAGACTCCCTGCAGAGGGAGGCCCGGAGCAGGGTGCCTAGAGCCAGGGCTGGGAGCCGGGACTCCTGGGCTCCCTGCAGCTTGTGCCAGGGATTGGGCGGGGTGAGGAGGCCTGCAGGGCTCTGCCGCTCTGCAGCCACGCGGAGAAGCAGCCCCACAGCGTGAGGAGCACCCCCGGGAGTCCAAGCGCCTTGTTGGGCAGAGCCCAGAGACAGTTCGAAGCCACGAGCCCGGGTGCGAGGTCCGGGCACGGCCCGTGTGGCAGGCCCAGAGCTGCTGGGCATGGAGAGAATGGGCCATTCATCTCCGCCAGCCCAGGAATGGTGTGGGTTCGCAGGGGAATTCGCACGGCCTGGGGAGAGTGGGCACAGAACAGCGACTGCAGCCAGCCCCCGAGACAATGCCAGCGCGCCTGCCGCAGTCATGCCACCCGCCGCACCCAGCCGGGCTCAGCAGAGAGCCGGCCCCGTGCGCTGGGAGACGGGTGCGAGCCGGGGACAGGCCGGGCTCAACGCCAGGTAGGAGCCCGGGGCCGTGACCCGTCACCCATCCTGGAAGGCCTGAGCCAGCGTCTCGCTCCAACCCTCGAGCCCTGAGCCAGGGCAGCTCTGATGCACCAAGGGCAGCGGGCGCTTTCAGTGCCCCAGTGCAAAGTCCCTTCGCAGGCATCAGAGAGACGTGCCCAGCCAAGCCCCACCGGACGGGCACCTGCTGCCATTTGCAGCCCCTGGGCGTAACGACGCCCCTGGGTCATGCGCCAGGCCCCTGCGGAGCCGCTGGTCAGACTGGGCCATTGCTCCGGGAGTCTCACACCACTAGGGCGCGGCCCCGGGGCTCGGGCAGCGGGAGGACACCGCGGGATGTGAGCTCGTGGCTAGGGGAGGTGGCTGGCTGCTGGGCGCCCGCATGGGAGGACCAGGGACAGAGGTTCCGGGCTGGGACACAGGAGACACGGCCACTCATGCCACTCACCCGTGGGAAGTCCTGGCATCTGCTTGGCCTCAGTTTCCCCTCCTGTCACGTGGGGGAGAATGAACCTGCCTTGGTCTGGTCAGACCGGGAGCTCTGCAGGGCAGGGAAAGTCTCTGGGACCGAGTCTGTGCAGCGCCTGGCATGACGGGCCCCCCCCCCATCTCCCCGCGGTGCCCAGCGCAACGCCCCCCAGCAGAGATGGGCCGCAGGGACACGGGGGCGGTGGAGCCGCTCTTACCTTGGGGATCCGCTTCCTGCTGCCCTACCGCCGCCTGCTAGGCGCCTTCCCCAGCCCAATTAGCACCTCGTTAGCCCCGGCCAGCTGCGCTGCCACCTTTAACCCTTCGCTCAGCCAGTGCCCGGGCCTGCACCCCCGGGGCGCTCGGCTCCACGGGGAGCGACCCACCTTCTCCCAGGGGTGAGGTGAATGGGGCAGTGTCTGCAGCCCCCCAGCTAAGATCAGGGCCCCGTCGCGCCGGGCACCGTCCAGACCCCGACCGAGATCGGGGGCCCGTCGCGCCGGGTGCTGCAGAGACACAGACCGAGATTGGGGCCCCGTTGCGCCGGGCGCTGCCCAGACCCCAGCTGAGATGAGGTCCTGTCGTGCTGGGCGCTGCCCAGACCCCAACCGAGATCAGGGCCCCGTCGTGCTGGGCGCTGCCCAGACCCCGACGGAGACCGGGGGCCCGTCGCGCCGGGTGCCGCCCAGCCCCCAGCCAAAATCAGGGCCCCGTCGGGCCGGGCACTGCCCAGCTCCCAGCCGAGATCGGGGCTCTGTCGCGCTGGGCGCTGCCCAGACCTCAGCTGAGATCAGGTCCCATTGCGCCGGGCGCTGCCCAGACCTCAGCTGAGATCAGGTCCCGTCGCGCCGGGCGCTGCACACACTCACTGTAAGCTCTTTGGGAGCGGGACCAGGACCAGCTCTCACACAATAGAATTGTGATGGTTTATTTCCCCCTGTGAATGTACGTGGCAGAAGTTTTGTTTGTAAATGCCCAATGGCTGCGGGTGCTGGGAGCTCCGGGCATCACCCCCAGGACAGAGGGGACTGAGGCCCAGCGAATGGAGGGGCTGATTTTCCAGAGACCATCTCCCAGTGGGTGCTGAGCGCTGCCCACACTGCCCCAAAGCAACTCATCCACAGTCACCCAGGGAGCTGGGAACAGACCCCCGTCTCCAGCGCCCCAGGCCTCCAGCTCTAGCACCTGCCCATCTCCAGCGTGAGTGCTGCTTCGGGGTCCAGGTGGGGGCGGGGGAGCGGTAACTGCAGGCGTGGCCCTGCTCAGCCGGGCTCCGGCTCCACCGCTCCGGGAAGTGGATGGGTGACAGTCATTTCTGGAGGGTTTGTCATTTCCTGCTGGGCTGCTGCTTCCTGCTCAGGGAAGGTGCCGCTTCGAGTGTGCATCGAACAGCCGGGCGCTGGACTCAGACCCTGGCTCTGTCACACGCTCTCGGCCGGGGTCTGGGCAGCGCCCGGCCCGACGGGGCCCTGATCTCGGTCGGGGTCTGGGCGGCGTCCGGTGCGATGGGGCCCCCAACTGATGGGTAAAACATTGTAAAACGGGTGTTTGCCATGTGGAGAAGAGTCTCTGCTGATTTTCTTTGTCCATGGGCTGCCCCCCCTTGCTCTGACACGGCTCCTCCTGCCCTCTAGCGGAAGGACGCAGGCGCTGGGAATGACCGAGTAGCTGAACCCAGGGACAGGCCAAGCGGGCGGCTGTGTGGAGCCGGCAGCTGCCCAGGATGGGACCTTGGGGGTGGGGTACACTCCCGGGGGGGGGGGTCAGTTTCCTACAGACAATAAGGAGCTAGGCAGAGGCCCAGCAGTTGAACTCCCAGGCAAATGATGGAGCCCCGGGAAGTGGGGAGGGCGGGGGAGCTGCCCTCAGCTGGGGCTGCGTCGGTGCCGGCTCCAGGCCCTCGCGCTGTCCGTTGCTCGGCGCCGGGCAAAGCACCGCGGAGCGGCCCCGGCGCCAACCACTGCACATGGCCAGGCCACACCTGCTCAGCGCCAGGGAGCAGAGTTCAAGGCTGGCGGCGAAATCGGCCCGGCTTTGCCCGGGAACAGCAGGCGCTGGCCGGGCGGCGAGCAGCCAGATCCACCCTCTTTCCCCTCACCGCCGGCCACAGGCAAAGTTCCAGCGGCTGGGGACCCCCAAGCAGCGCGGGCACGTGGGGCAGAGCCGCCAGGCTCCCGGTGCGTCCCTGGGGAGAGGCAGCAGCCCCAGAGCACAGCCAGAGAGGGGGCAGTGGGTAGGGCCGGTCAAACGGCGACGGTCCCTGGAGATGCTCCAGGCCCGGGAAGCCCGCGGAGGGGCCGTGGTGCAGACCCCGGGCTGTGGGGCGCCCGCCGACCCCAGCCCAGCCACTGCACATTGCCAGGGGCTGCGTCCAGAGCCCGGCTGAAGCGGCTGCTACCCCATGGGGGGCGGAGGGGGCCCAGGGGGTGCTGACAAGACCCTCCTGTTCTTAGCTAGCCCCTCCCTCTGAGACCCCCGAAGGGCTGTGCAGCCAGCAGAGGTGGGAGGCAGGACGCCTGGGTTCAAAGCGCCGGACAGGAGCGGGACCTGGAAGGGGACAGTCATCGCCCACTGGGCCCAGAGTGGGAGGTGACTGCTGAGAGTTACAGAGTGAGTCAGGGGCCGAGACAGGAAGAGAACCAGGCATCTGGGCTCCCAGCCCCCCTGCTCTAACCACCAGCCCCCACTCCCCTCCCAGAACTGGGGACAGAACCCAGGAGTCCTGGCTCCCAGCCCCCCCCTTGCTCTAACCACTAGACCCCACTCCCCTCCCAGAGCCGGGGAGAGAACCCAGGAGTCCTGCTGTTACAGTCAGGCACTGGTGGGCTCAATTGAAGGGGTTCCAAACAGGCTCTTTGTCAGCCGTGAGGGTTCCCCTGGAACCAGAGCCAGCTTCACAGGGGCGAGCGGGGGCACTGGGTGCGTGACGGGGGGCTGGGCTCTGGGCTGGGGGCGAGCGGGGGCACTGGGCGCGTGCCAGGCAGGTGGGCTCTGGGCGGGGGGGCGGGGGGCGGCGGCGCGGGGCTGCGCGGGGGGGCTCGGGGCCGGGGCGAGCGGGGGCACCGGGAGCGTGCCGGACGGGTGGGCTCCGGGCCAGGGGGGGCACCGGGCAGCCCGCGGTTAAGCGACCCAGGGAACAGCCCCAAGGAACGAGGAGCGGACGAGACGCAGCCACCCAGGACTCGAGGCTGGCGCGGCAGGCGGCGGGAAGGGCTTGTGGGGGAAGGAGGCAGCGGGAGCGGGGTACAGAGTCAGGGCTGTTATTTTCCTTTCACAGCAGTTCACAGCGGCTTTTCGGGAGCTTCCGACACTTTCCCCGTCGCTCAGACAATAAGTTACTTCCAAACCGTTCAGAGCCCAACCTGGGAGCCGCCACGGGCCAGGAAACGGCCTCTTACCCTCCCCCGCCACGGCTCATCTAGCTAGGATGGGGGGTTGGGGGCGAGACGGGGGCAGGGCAGTGGGGAGGGGCTTACTGGACATGTTGCCATTCTCAGCTCTTGCTCTGGGGCTGGGGGTTCGGTGGCTTTAAGGCTCCTTTGCGCTTCCCGTATTCTGAGCCCTGGTGTCAGTTAGAGCAACCTCAGGGCTGCTCTAACTGATGCTTCTCCCCCTATGGGCCCCAGGGGGCTGAGAACAGCCACAGCACAGTCTGCTCCAGCCACACCCCCGCTCCACCCCCTAAGTCAGGGGACTCCTCAGGGGGCCAACGCCACCCCAGGGCAGGGCAGGGGGTCCCGAGCCTGGCTGAGAATTCAGGCCGAGGCACATAGGGCCGGGTCTGCAGCAGGTATCAGCCGGCTCCACTGACAGCTGAGGATCGGGCCCCTAATAAATTAGAGCAGGGGTATTTAATACTGTCACCCCCTCCCCGCCCTCAGAGCGCGTGACCCCCCACGAGCACGTCCATCAGGTAGTCCAGGTCGCTCATGTCCAGCCGGTCTTCGGCGCCGGCGAGCGCCTTGCTGTCCGAGTCCTCCGCACCGGAGAAAGCCTTGAAGCCGGAGAGGCTGGTGGGCGACCACAGGTCGCAGTCGTACATGGAGGTGTCGATGTCCTCGAAGATGTCCTCCAGGCCGTCCTCCAGCAGGTAGCTGGCCGAGCTGAGCAGCTCCAGGGGGCCCAAGCAAGGGGCTGAGGTCCTAGCCGGCTCCTGCCTGGCTCCAGACGCGCCGGCCAAAGGCTGCTCCTCTTCGGGCCGGGCGGGGCTCAGCGCCTCCACCTGACCCAGGTCCTCCAGGATGGTGGAGATGGAGGTGTCCATGGTGGAGAGGAGGAGATCGTCCCCCTGCTTGTCGGAGGGTGGCGGCCGGCAGGGCTCCAGCCCACTGTCCCTGGAGTCTGAGACGGGGGCAGGAGAATCCACCGCGGGCGGGGCCTCGGGGCTGTCCGGGGCCGCCGGCCCCCCAGCCTCCCGCTGCATCTGCTCCTGCATCCGGCGCAAGGTGTTGGCCACCAGCACCAAGTGCCGCAGGTTGGGCTCCACGCGCCGCAGGCTCTGGTGCAGCTTCACCATGGAGATGTTGAACAAGGAGGTGGCCGGGGCGGCGCTGGGGTCTCGGGGCTCCGTCTCGCCGCCCTCCATCTCCCCGCGCGGGCGCTTCACGCCTTTGCCCAGCATGGCTCTGCAACAGAGACAGGAGCAGTGAGTCCCACCGGCCCGCAGCCCCGAGCACGCCCAGCCCCACGGCACGGCCCTCTGGGTTCTCTCCCCGGCTCCGAGAGTGCAGCTGCGTCTAGTGGTTAGAGCAGGGGTTGGGAGCCAGGACTCCTGGGTTCTCTCCCAGCTCTGGGAGTGCAGCTGCATCTAGTGGTTAGAGCAGGGGGCCTGGGAGCCAGGACTCCTGGGTTCTCTCCCAGCTCTGGGAGTGCAGCTGCGTCTAGTGGTTAGAGCGGGGGCTGGGAGCCAGGACTCCTGGGTTCTCTCCCAGCTCTGGCAGGAAGTGGGGTCTGGTGGGCGGGGGCAGGGAACCAGGACGCCTGGGTCCTACTCCCAAGCGTTATTATTCAGTCCCAGCGGACACAAGGCAGCTGGGGGGGTGGGGGGGGACACCTCCATGAGCAGGGACTTGTCCATCCCTGGTTGTCCCGGTGATGCAACACCCCCCCAAGGGGGGGATTAGCTCCCTGGAGCCATCGGGGGAGGGTATTTAACTCCTCCCAGCCTGCTCTCGCCCCTCCGAGACCCGCTCCCGTGCCCGGGTGCCTGCTGACACTCGGCCCCCGGGGGCTGGGCACAGCTGCCGGCACCTGGCTCGCGCAGGTCTGTCTCCCCCCTGTGGGGCAGGGCAGGCCGGGGAGCCCTACGGTGCAGACGGGGAGCTGAGGCCCAAAGCTGCAGAGAGTCTGTGGCAAAGCAGGGAACTGCCCTAAGCACGGAGCCATCCTGCCCCAGCTGCCCCACGGCTAACGGCCAGCATGGCCGGGCCTCAGGGACGGGGCTGACTGGTGACCCAGTTTCAGTTTATGGCACGCTACTCCGGCATGGCCTAGTGGTTAGAGCAGGGGGGCTGGGAGTCAGGACTCCTGGGTTCTAGCCCAGCTCTGCCACGGCTGCCCTGTGTGCCCTTGGGCACAAGACCCACCCCCTTTCAGTGCCTCAGTTTCCCCCTGTCACTCCGGGATAGCAGCACCAAGGGACTCACCTGTGCTGTTGTCACCGAGCTGCAGCCCTTCCCAGAGGGGGCCCGTGTCTGACAGCCCCAGACCCCTGTGGGAAGCAAAAACCTGCTCCCTACAGCGGAAAGGGGGGGCACACCCCTCTCCCTCTGGAGCTCTCTTCCCAGGCGGCGGGGGAGGAGACGGGATCCGGCTCAGCCTCCCCCAGCCGAGGCCTCCCAGCGGTTCCTCCCCCTGCCGGAGCTGCCAAGGCTGGAAAGCTCCAGAGCGGGGCCTGCGGGGAGAGACACCAGGCCGGCCCTTAACCGGCTTGATCTGCGCTGGCCTGGGGGGAGGGAGTGTCAGTCAATAGTGAACTATACAGCCTGGGGAGGGTGTCTACACTGACCTATAGAGCCTGCCCTTCCTAAAGGGAGGGGTGCTTGTTCAGTTCCTGTGCGCCGGCATTGTATAGGGGACGTGGTTGTGTAGCTTTTAGCACCGGGCCATATGGTCCCTGGAAGGAGTCTGGGTCCCCCTCCTCTCCCTGACTTCCCATGAGGGGTGTCCACACCCTCCAAAGCACAGAGCCCAAGTGGGGCGGGGATCTGCACTGAACCAGTACTGGCCAAAGCCCTGGGGACACCGCCCCGACCCCCAACCCCGGGGCACAAGGGGGGTTTCCGGACACCGCCTGCCCCAGGCCCTGTGCTGGGATCATGGCCTGTGGGATGCAGCAGAGCTGCTGTGCCAGAGACGCCCCCGTGTGTGTCACGGAGATGACACAACGTGACTAACACCACGGTGTCGTGCGGATGACAGATGAATCACAGCCCATGGTTTCCAGGCACCTGCCTCCGAAGGGCTCGATACGAACCAAGCACCAGCCGGGACCCAAGGCAGCATTCGAACCAGTGAGCAGGTCACAGGGCTGGTTCCACTCCCAGCTCCGCCCCAGGTGGCCTTGAGCAAACCCCTTCCCTGCTCTGTGCCTCAGTTTCCCCTCTCAGCCTTGCCTACCCAGACGGGGAGCTCTTGGGGCAGGGGCTACGTCTCCCGCAGGGTCTGTGCAGCACCCGGTGTGATGGGCCCCAGAGCCTGATTGGAGCCCTCGGGTGCTACCCTAATATAAATTACTAGTAATCATGGATGTCGTATTATCCCTGTTAATCGCTGGTATTCGGAGCAGGGCCTGGGACAAATGCCCCAAAGAACTACCTACTGATACCGTATATGTGTATACAGCGCCGCAGGGCCTTGATTTCCTAGGGGCGGTTACCGCAGGACACAGAATTACAGCTACACAAATAGGGATCTTTACAAAGCACTTTACAGAGGAGGCCAGTATCACATCCTCTCTATTGTAGAGATGGGGAAACTGAGGCACAGAGCACCACAACTTGCCCAAGGTCACCCAGCAGGCCAGGGAGAGCCAGGGCTAGAACCCAGGTTTCCTAAGTCCCAGACAATTGCTCTGTCCTCCAGGCCACAGCTGCAGCCATGCTGAACCGGCAGCGCCCGGCACTCGCTTGGCGGGGAGGCAAGCAGGTGCCCCGGGCACACGGAGAATCAGACCCAGAAAGTTTTAAACATGTGTGGATCCAGGGCGGCAGACTGACAGCTCCGGGCAGTAGCAGCGGGACCCACTTCCCCCACACCCAGGCCCCCCGGCAGCGTGTCTTGGTCCTGTCCTGAAGCGGAGGAGAGGAGAACGAACCCTAACCAGTCTAATGCCCTTGCTGTGACAGAGGGCTTTGCCCGCAGAGGTCTCCAGGCAGCCTGCACATGACGGAGCAATGCCTACAGATGGGGAAACTGAGGCTCAGACAGGTCACAAAAGCGAACCCAGGTGTGCTGAGTCCCAGGGCAGGGTCCTATGCACCGTGCCTGCCAGAAGAGCCGTTCGCCCACAGTCTCTGCGCCCTTGGGAACCTGGACCGGGCCAAACGCCTGAGACGGGGGCCGGGCCACAGCTCCGGCTGCACGTTTTACACCGTCCCATGGCCCGAGGCTGTTGAGGAGCAGGAGGACTGCGCCCCTGGAGCCAAAGGTCAGGGCCCGGAGCTGGGCTGGGGGGGGCCACGGCCGGTTCTGAGCCCAGCCCCTGGGCTTTCCTGCTGGGCCCCGCAGGCAGAATGGGGACCCCCCCCGGCACCCCCATGAATCCGGGCACTGCAGTGTCCCTGAGCTGCCCCACTGCACTGGGGGGGCCGCCTACTGCCTGCCCCCTTGCCGGGGCCCCAGTGCTCCGTGCACGGCATGGGGGGCTGCCCCTGCTCGGGACTCGCCCCGGGGGGGTCCCCGTTGCTCGGGGGGGGCGGCCCCACGCGGCGGGGGCGGGTGAGTCACGCAGCAGCCGGAGCCTCCTTCCCCGCCCGGCCCGGGTGAATCACCGGGCTCCGGCTCCCGGCCCCGGGGCTCCCCCCCGCGCCCCGTCCCGGGCTCCCCCCTCGCGCCCCGTCCCGGGGCAGCGCGAGCCCCGCCGCCGGACCCCTCCAGACCCTCATTTACATACCCGGCTCCTCAGGGCCCAATCAGCGGGGCTTGGAACGCGGCGCGCAGCCAATCAGCAGCCGGCATCTCCCCCCCCTCCGGCTCCGAAACCGACTCGGCCACCGGGAATTGCTACATCTGCCCTGCCGCGCCAGGCCCCGCCCCTCCGATTGTCCGGGGGAGGGGGGGGGAAGCAGCGCGCCAGCCAATAGCGGGGCTCGGCCGCACGACTCATCTGCATACAGTGGGCGGACGGGACCGAATCAACACAGCTGGAGGGAGGGGCGGGGTGAAAGGAAATACCAAGAGGCCCTGCCCCACTGCCATCTGATTGGCCAGGGTCAAGCGGCTCATCTGCATACAGAGAGCGGACGTGAGCGACTCAAGCGAGAGGCGGGGCGGGCGGTTTGAGTGGCAGGCCCCGCAGGGGGCGGGCTGGGATGAGTTTGTCGGGGCTCAGCCCGCAGTTGCTGGGGGGGGGGCGTGCAGGGGAGGGGGGAGGAGACTCCGGGCATGCCCCGCCCCCTCCTCTCCTCTAGCCCTCAACAGCCCCACTCCCCCAGCCCCCTTAGTGCAACCAGCATTGCTCCAGCCAGCCCAGGGGCCCATCTACCCCGGTATCCTGCCTCCCCCAGCAGAGCAGGGCTGTAGTTCCACGCAGGGCGGTTCCAGCCCCCCAGCAAAGCACAGCACGGGTGGGCCCAGCTGAGCCATGCAGGGTGCTCCACGCGAGGGGCAGGGGGGCCGGGCAGCCGCTGAGTGTCAGGATTCATGTGATTTAGAGGAAAGTGAAAGAAGAGTCCGGGGCCGAGAAGCGAAAGCGAAAGGGCCGGCGTTGCCCTGCGACTGCACAAGGGCCAGGCCTGAGCCGCGCTGGGGCAGGTCCCCAGCTGCTTGGTCTGGGGCCCAGCATTACACATCAGGCCCACGCCTCCGCCTGAGCCTTTTACAACCATCACCCTCGGACCAGCCTCGCGTCAGCCTGGCCAGAGCCCCGGCTCGTCCCTCTCCCCCACCCTCGCCTCCGGGGCCTCCAAAGTGTCTCTCTCACCCCCAGAACTTGGGCCAATGAAAGGCCTCACCTGCCTCACCTCGTCCCTCTAGTATCTCCAGCGCAGACCAGGCCCCCGGCTGCATGCACCACCGTGCGCCCGGGAGACGTCCCTGCCAAGGAGCACTCAGGCCCCATGGATTAGACGGGGGGGGGGGGGGGGGCAGAAGCACACAGACTTGCCCAGGCACCCGGCGCTATGCCTAGAACCCCGCTCGCCCCGTTCCCCGCCCGGTGGCCCCATTCACTTGGCCCTGCTGCGTCTAGCCCCCAGGGAGCGGGCGGACGGGCGTGAGGCTGGCACCGCGAGGAAAGGCCGGTCAGACACCAGGCTCGCCCCAGGCCAGGTGACCTGGGCGGGGAGTGGAAGCAGGTGCATTGATGGGAGCCCTGAGCCCAGGTGCAGGGGGAAATCCAGGGGAAAGACTGCCTAATGCAACGGCCCTGGCTTTCCTGGCTTCCCGATTCCAGCTCCTCCCAGCTACCTGAAGTGATTCCTAGGCGGCCGCTGTCGCTTTTTCAAATGCCATCTTGAAAACACGTCACTTTTTGCACCAATCAGCCCGTGCTCGCCTGAGCTGTGTCAGAAAAAAGATGAGACACGGACCCCACGCCACCCCGCCACATCCGACCGCTCGGCCCGCAGGAAAACCAGAGATGAGAACTCCGCTGGACACTCAAAGCCATGGTCTCCCCAGACCTCATTCCAAACCATCCGCAACCTACTAACCCTCCTTTGGCCTGTGACTGCCGAGGAGTTAATTACCCACCTCGTTTCAAGGGGTTTCTTGCAAGGTGCTAACCCTCTTGCAGAGCAATCCGTCCCACCTTGTACGGAGCAGTGACACTCCAGTTACCTTCACCGAGTGCTTCGTCCGGGCTGCAGCAGCTGGAACGCCTGTCTCTTCCATCACCCACGCTGGTCCCATCGAATAGATCCCTTCCCCCCCTTGTCTCTCTCCAACACGATCAGAGCCAAGGCCCCGGGCCAGATCCCACCAGCTCCCCACCCAGCAGACCAGGGACCTTCAGGGTTAACTCACCAAGCTGCTGGTCTAACATGAACAGTGATGTGCCGCTCCTGGGTCCCGTGCCAAGGGTGCTGGCAGCCCGGCTCCGGCTCAGAGGCGAGGCAGGGCTGGCACACAAGCCGTTCTTTACTTTAGCTGAGCGGGCGCTACGGCTGCCCGAACGTTCTGGCCCCGGACAGCCTGTTCCCAGGTGCTCCCGGAACGTGCAGTTATTGTGTCTGCACTGGCCAGCTGCAGCAGAAAGAACTTCTCGCTCTGCCCAGCGATCGCTTCCAGATGCTAGCACACCAGCAGCGGGGCCGGGCAAAGGCAAAGACCAGTTCTTAGGAGACAGCCATTTCCTACCGGCTTCGAGACGGGCAAAATCTGAAAACAAACCACAAATGAGATTTGGGAAAAAGGCCCACAAATAGAGCAATTTCTTCCCTCGTCTTTTCACTCAGCATCTCGCGGACAAGTCCTGGCTGTGGCCAGCGCTACTAAAGCGTGTGCGCAAAAGGAAAGCAAATGTGAGACCTACCGATTCGCACATCGCTTGGCTTCCTACATGGGGCTCGGGTAGTCAGGAGATAGAGCAGAGCTCAAAAGGCAAGGAGGAAATTCTGCTATGGCCAGAAAGCACAGGGCAGCTGTTTATTTAAAGGACACTGTTAGTCCAGGACCCTCGAGGGGGTGGAGAGCACCGGGAGATACACTGGGATATCCTGGAGCCTTTCATTTCTAGGTCACTTGTTTTGTACGCCCAAGTCTGATCTCCTGCAGAATGTCGAGCAGAGAATCCCGCCCAACCATTCCTACCCGCAGCCCCCAGATCAACCTTCCTAGATAGTTCAGTGAGGAGAATGAAAAGGAGCCTGTCGCCACCATCCCTAGTCTAACCCCCTGTGAAACCCTGCAGCTCCCGTCAGACACTCCTGTGTGATCGGCGCACTGGGAAAGAAGAAAGCTCACTCCTCCATGGAGCCAATACCTTTATTCACAGAGTAAAGTAAAGAAGTGACCCTTTTAAAGTAACCTGCATTGCTAGTTTTGCCAGCACAGTTTGTTTCAACATGTGCCCATCTGTCTGAGCAGACAGCACGACCGTTCATTCAATCACGTTTAACAAGACAGGTGCAATCAGTGTAAGAGACTTGAGTTTAAACTAACAATTCAGGGAGAGCGACTCTACAGAACAGTTTAATTATGCAGATCTGCATAAGAAGCATTTGCCCTAGAGTTTCTCAGCAGATTCAGGGCATTTGCCACACGCGGGTGCTTTACCACTGATATTTGAATCCTTTATACCCAGATTACAGCACGATTTGAGCTTGTCAGGGATGAAAAACTGCAATTACCCGCAAGGTGCAAATTACAGATTGAAACGTGCACACACAACACTGCAAGATAAATGAAGCTTGTTGCTTAACCAGGGCTTGTGCATCCACTTCTCCACCCTGAGCCCTGCTCCACACTCGGGCCGAACGCGATTTAAACAGGAGTTTGAGAGTCCCATCGCTAACGCAGCTGGAGATTGCAATGGCCAGGCTACACATCTCTGTACAGCGCCGAGTATTCTGGGAGAAGGTGCCTGCTTTTTGTTCCGTTACCATCAGGCACCAATAGGACAGAGTGCGTCCGCTGCCTGTGGCTTATAGCAAAGCGGAGTAATAATCCTAACGCTGAACAGGTGCAGTTCTACCGTGGCCCCCCAGCCCTGGCCGAGCA